AGGATTTGTGTTACTTCTTTTGAATTTATATATATATATATATGTATATATGTTTTCAAGCATTTGTATTAATTTTTGCCACAAATTATTATATAAATCCGAATGAATTTTATTGTATTTATATAATAAATTTTCTTAATTATTTCCATCCACTGCAACTAAGAACGTTGAATTATTGGAGGAGCAGATAAATAAATAACCCCCCCCCCCCAGCAAATGACATGATGTGTCATCTCTTGTCCATTGGCAACAATATTTGAGATGTATGTTTTTCTGTGACACATATTAAACACCAGGAAAAAGGAACAGATTTTACTCTTAATATTTCCCTCTGGGTTAAAATCCTATGCATTCTTCATGTGACAGGTCATATAATTTTGCACTAATTTCTAAGTTTAAATCAGGTTTAGATCATCTTGGATTAACAAATTTATTAAAATCAAATAACAAAATTATTTGAACGTCTAGTTTAGATGGAAAAACGGCCATAAGTTGTGAGGTGAGATCGCCTTGTCATTGTCAGTTCCACTGGCGGGTTTTGAAAGTTCAACACGTAGCAATGGCGGCCGCTTGCGCATGCCGAAAATCACGCGACTTCCAATCTTGTGTTATTTACATCTATGAGTCGACACTTTTTTCTAAGGTCTTCTACACCACTGAATCACAATTCGTGCTTCTGGTATTTCTAGGTCTTAAAGTTTATGACGATATTACAGATTTATTTTCTTTCATCAAAGGTAAAATAAATATTTAATCGGCGATGTACAGGCCTAACTTATTCTTTTATAATATTATAATAGAAAAAAAATCCGTTTCCAAACGCCTACACAAGAACAGTGCTCTTTTATTTTTCAAATTAATGGTAAGATTTTACACGAACATACGCACATACACAATTATAATATGACAAATCTTAATAAGTTATGCATTTAAGGTTAACTTTTCAATTTGACCTTCGTTTTAACATATTATAGAGATCTTCCTGCTAATATTTGTTTTTGCAAATTAACGTTACGTTTTCAATTATTTGTAATCATATGCAAGAAATGCAAGTATAAAATATCACAGACATACACGGGTGACAGCAAAATATACACAAAAATGTTATTCATCATGAAACTAGAAAAAGGAGAAACGATTTCTTGTATATATTGTTGTTATAATGTACTCAAGGTTTCGAAAATTTTGTTAATAAAATAATTATTTAGAACAAACTTTCCGAAGCCAACCAATCATTTACCGCAATATTCATCTAGCATTATAATACAATTATGAACATTAAGAAGTTAATGAAGTAGATATTTTGTCAGTTAGGCTGAGAAACCTACTGTGGTTGTTCAAACGATAATTTCAAATCAGAATATAGAATAATCTATGTTTTTGCTCTCTACAACATGTTCAGGGTCAGAAACTAGAGTAGTAAATGAAATCATAGTAATGTAACAGGTCTGAAACCATAATAATTAATTACTTTGTGAATGATATAAAAATACACTATAAAATCTACTTACTTTTCCTTCTTTCACACCTAGACGAAATATTCCATTGCTGTTCCCTTCATCAATGTAAACCTCCATCTCTCCGTTCTTTCCTTCGTCATTGTCCACTACATAAAGTTGAATTCCTACTCCCACACTAGCAGGACCTACACATCGAAACATCTTTGAATATAATGTCATCAGTTATTCTTATATATATGAAAAAGTCATGGGATGATTTTACGACGCATCATAAATGAAAAACCTTGTAATAGAACAGTTAAACATAATTAATATTCGCGTTATATCCAGCTTGACTTTTAACAAAGGCCCAGCATTTTACCATAAAACAGTTTGGGTTCTTTGAATATGGTTTATAGCAGTGATGTTTTCCTATTTCAAGTGATCATATTTACTTATACGAAAAAGCTGACAGCGGTAAGTCTGAAGTCTTATAACAATATAAATCGGGTTTAGATACCAGTAGTGGGCACAGCACAGATAACCCATTGTGTAGCTTTATGCTAAGCTACAAAATAAACAAACAAACTTGACTGAAAAGTAAAAAAGGCGAGTGCATAAATAAAAAGCCACACATTTAACACTTCGTAGTGTTAAAATATTTCATATTCAATGTGTAGAGAAAGCGTTATCCTCTACTGAGTATTATCTGTTTGGATTATTTGTTTGCATGACATTTCAAGAATCAAAATGTATATAGGCACGAAAGGAACTTCGTATTTCAGAGTTCAATTTATATATATTGCTGGTTTCGCATATTAACGAGAAGATACACAGAAGCTGCCAGCACTAAACGTCCCTAATTTTGGGTTTATAGACTATAGAGAAAAAGTTAACAAAAAGCACCCGTTGCCAACTCTTGGGGTTCTCTAATCAAATAGTATTGATTGGTATCCTTATAACGCATCAACGACCCAATAGTACAGAGCGTGATCTTGCGGCGTCGAGACGCGAAGAATGGACCTTGGGGTTCACAGACAGGCGCGCTAACTATTCGGCCACGCCTGGCTCCTTCAACATACTGGAAGTGGAGAGGTCAAAGGTTAACATCTATTCTTAATATCAGAAGTATAATTTTCACAAAGATAGGTATGTATTAATAATAAGTTTATACAATTATATGAAAATTTCTCAAATGATTTTTTAGATCATCCATAAATTGATAACCTAAAATCGCATGTTACAAATTGTCTCCTTGCTTACTATGATTTAACATTCATTGCTAAGTGCTTTTTATTAAGTAATCGTTAATCTTTATATGTATTTTAAGTACTTTATAATGTTTTTTTAAGTTTGTTTGAAATTAAATAGGGTCTTCGAAAACATACAATAAAATATTGATCTGTTTTATAATTGAAATCTCTCAATCGAACTGTTTCGATAAATTAAACGCCTTATTGTCGGCTTTCAGCATCTTTGTTTTGTGCAGTAATGTTATTAGTAATATGCTTAAAAGCTGAAATCTCACAATCTATCAGCCAATTTTATTTTCAGCTGTCAACATCTCTGTTCAGTTAGTGAAGTCTAATGATTTTACTTCTTTTCTTATCATATACAGCAAAATTACTTATTTAAAAAAAAACTATTTAGAATGTCCTGTTTTAAATCTTAGAATTTAAGGAAAGCTTTAGAAAAACCTTGGGTGTAATATTTTAAATTTTACAAAAAAATATCGTTTATAATATTAACTTAAAATAACAAGATATTGGGAAATACAAAATCAAACAAAAGAGCATCACAAAAACAGAAATGCTGTCGGTGAACGACAGATTATGAGAGAAAAGTGTAGACGTCTGAATACACTAATAGGAACTAAGGTATAATCTATATATATTTGAATTTCTAAAATCAGCACACGCGCTAATGTATAAGCTCACATTGTGCTTGGATTCTCTTGATAACAATCATAAAAAATATCAGGCGAAGTTTTTATGATGCTTAGAGATTGGCGTAATATCTTCAAAAATACTCTTCGAACTTCAACTAATGACTAGTTAGCTCTTACCTTCAGTGACATTTAGCACAAAAGTGTCGTTGAAAAAAACAGGACTCCAATCATTTTCATCCAATACAACTACATGAAGACTTGTTAAACCCTGAAAAAATAAACAACTTAAAATCTATTTTATTTCGTTTTAGTGAAAACCACATTATAATGACACGTTAGAAACTAAGTAAAAACCGACAGAATGTGTCAATGTATTTAAACATTGAATATTTATCTAAGGCTAATGCACACAAGCATATCTAATGCAGGACATTTTCCAAAAAACAAGCATTATATTTGTTCGTTGTTAGGTACTTACGGTATTGTTAGCACTGTCTACAGCAAGAATCCTCAACATGTAAGCCGGAGTATTTTCTCGATCAAGTGGAACTTGTATAGAGACCACGCCTGTTTTTTCATCAATCTGGAACTCGTTATTAGGATCACCTAAATAGCAAAAGAACCTGTGATACTGATGTAACTTTTGTTGTTAATCTAGAAGTTTCTCGAATTTGTGTTGTAGTTTAGCCAGTAAAATGTTTAACGTAACATGATGACAGTGGCTTATCGATGAACTTTCTCTAAAAGTTAGGATACAATTTGAGCTATGCATTAAACGCATATCAAAGTTTATAGTAAAGTAAGTTTGTCTGTCAGTTGATGAGTAATAACTGCTTGATTTAGTCCGCCAGATAGTCATTTAGTTTGTTAATTTACTTATTCATTTACACTTTGTTTTGG